AGAGTCAGGCTAGGCTGTCCTTGGTACTGACCATGTATGACCTTGCAGTTGGGCTGTACGTGCTAGCACGCCGGCGGGCAGCTGGAGGGGTGTGTGAGAGTCGGTTTAGGCTGTCCTTGGTACTAACCATGCATGACCTTGCAGCTGTGCTGTACGTACCAGCACGCCGGTGGGCAGCTGGAGGGGTGTGTAAAAGTCAGGCTAAGCTGTCCTTGGTACCAACCATGTATGACCTTGCAGCTGTGCTGTACGGACCAGCACGCCGGTGGGCAGCTGGAGGGGTGTGTGAGAGTCAGATTAGGCTGTCCTTGGTACTGACCATGTATGACCTTGCAGCTGTGCTGTACGTGCTAGCACACTGGTAGGCAGCTGGAGGGGTGTGTGAGATACAGGTTAGGCTGTCTTTGGTACTGTCCACGTATGACCTTGCAGCTAGCTGTGCTGTACGTGCTAGCACGCCGGTGGGCAGCTGGGGGGGTGTCTGCGAATCAGGCTAGACTGTCCTTGTTACTGACCACGTATGACCTTGCAGCTGTACTGTACGTGCCAGCACGCCGGTGGGCAGCCGGAGGGGTTTGTGAGAGTCAGGTTAGGCTGTCCTTGGTACTGTTCATGTATGACCTTGCAGCTGTGCTGTACGTGTCAGCATGCCGGCGGGCAGCTGGAGGAGTGTGTGAGAGTTAAGCTAGGCTGTCCTTGGTACTGACCATGTATGACCTTGCAGCTGTACTGTACGTGCCAGCACGCCGATGGGCAGCAGGAGGGGTGTGTGAGAGCCAGGCTAGGATGGACGGCAAGACTGTCATCATCACGGGAGCTAACACGGGAATCGGGAAGGTGACAGCCAGGGACATGGCCGAGAGAGGTAGGGAAATCTACTAGATCATATAGTTTCACTGGACAAAGTCAGGAGACTGAGCAGAATTGTATGAAGAGGTGCAAACGAAGCTCTATATATATATCAGGGCACTCCAGCCATCACTAAACAGAGACGGTGGACGACATAGACTCCCTGGCACGTTTGATCAATTACTGACGTGACGTGTCTGTATATGCCTGGCGTGAAAAAGGTTACGTGCCTGTAACTGTAAGTGTCGCTGGTTTATGTTTCAATACCCCTATGTTCGTGGTATAAGAATTGTTCTCGAAACCTTCATACAGTGCTTTTCAGTAAACAAAATATACATTGAACTTTTTTTTTTGGTCTGAGAATAACCACAATAACCACAATAAAACAATTATAAAAGCCTAAAACCTGTCTTGGGGTATTTGACTACTCCATACTTTCTGGCATGTGTGTATAAAAATGAAGAAGCTGAATCAATTGGACCAAATGACAAAAGGAGGAGAAAACACACAAGATAAAACAATATATTTCATCCATAACATGGTATAAAGGGAAATATAACAATTCAATTCCCTGTTTTAATTTTCCAGGTGCCCGCGTCATTCTGGCCTGCAGAAGTCTGGAGAAAGCGGAGCAGGCCGCTAAAGACATCCGCAGCCAGACTGGGAACGAGAACGTCATCGTGCACAAACTTGACCTCGCCTCTCTGACGTCAGTCAGACAGTTTGCAAAGGTCATCAACGAAGCTGAACCGCGATTGGACGTGCTGATCAACAATGCAGGTACGGTAGAAGCTCACTTACTGAGTAAAGACATTCTTTTTACATATTAACCAAGTCTTGTATTCAGCCGATGTTTCGGTGACCGTCTGTCACCTTCCTCAGGGCAATTCTGACTGGTTCACATTGCACTGCAGCAGAGGTGTCGCTGCTATATGTATAGATGCATTCCAAAATGTACAATATCTACATATCTACACACATTCGTAGCCAAGCCGAGAGACACGTACACATACGTGGTTACAGGAAACTGTATCTACAATGCCGTCCAAATCAAAAGTGAATAAAAAGAGTCTCTCTTAATACTCAGTAACTCATCAACCTGATGAAACTATTCATGGAGAAATATGACATAATGCGCCCTTCAATAAGGCCACACCGTCTTAATTCTATGGATGACATCCGCGCGCGCATTGATTTTCGCCTGTTCTTGAAAAATAAAATAAAATAAAATAAAATCACGTCCTTCGAGGCTCTGACCTGACTCTAGGCCTGGGTAGTCCGTGTTAGTTAGCGACAATACGAAACCGATGGTAACTCTGGAGGACGGTACCCAGGCTACCTAAGCTAAGGCGAGTTACATACGTACAGTGCCGATTCGTAAATTCCGCAAAAATCCAGCATGTGGCGGCTTGTCGTATACGTCGCTAAGTACTGCCGCAAATTCACTATGCCAACGGTTTAGTAGCATTTTTACTTTTGTCCGGATTTTTTTTTTATTCGCCCGCGCGCACTAGTTTGGGGGTCTTCAAAGGATGTCATCCATAAAATTAAGACGGTGTGGCCTTACATAAAACAGGTGTGATGGGCTGTCCTAGATGGGTGACTGAAGACGGGTTTGAGATGCAGTTCGGAGTGAACCACCTGGGACACTTTCTCCTCACTAACCTCCTCCTGGACAAGCTCAAACAGTCCGCGCCCAGCCGGGTCGTCACCGTCTCATCTCTGGCACACGTTTTCACGACCGGGCTAGATTTTGACGACATCAAATATGAGAAGGACTATGACCCGGCAGAGTCCTATAAGAGAAGCAAGCTGGCTAATGTACTGTTCTCCAGGGAACTTGCCAGGAGGTTAAAAGGTAAATATCACTAGATATTATAATCAGAATTGGGCATGGAAGTTTCGCTGCAGTACTATGTAACAAGCCGCCAGGGGCCCCAATATGAAATTATATCTTGGTCTAATCAAATCCTAATTATCTGTGGAGTTTCATAACAATTCATTTAAAGCTTATCGTGGTAAACCACTAACATTCACGCACAATTGAAAATTCAAACAACCGCATCAAGAATAACAACATTAGAGACATTTAATGCAATTTCAGGGTGGCAAACATAATTTTCAGTCAATTTTCTGGTCATTCTTTGAGGTAGTACGTTGAATTAAACCGATAGCATGCGGATATCTGTGAGGCAGAAATGTGATGTCAATGACGGAAAATGGTTGCCAGATTTGTATCTTAGGCTGGTTGTAGCTATGCTATTCATAGGCCGTACCAAAAAATAAACGTCATTTAAAATTAGATGACACGTAGTTTGCTTTCGGGATATTTCAAACGCTCCAAGTATCAAATATTCTTACAGTAGAGTTAGTAACAGTACAGCATGGAGGACGCTTTGTAACAGCATTTTTTGGGTTGGGGGTGGAGGGTCTGAACTTGTAAACGCCAGCTGGTATTGAAGACTTATGTCAATAAGTAACAGCTCTTGTTTGTATAAGAAATTTACCGCTTGCTAGCATCAAAAAACTTATTCACTAAGGAATATAAAATCTATTGTGAAATTCTTTGTAATTCAAGGATATCATGATATCATCATCTTCGCCGCTCTCATCTGTCGACGATGCGGCCCTCCACAAGGATATATGGATTTTCTGTTACATCAACTCTTACCTTGCTATCCATTTACATTTCGGTGTCTATCAAAAACCTTTCTCAGAGCTTCTGACTGGAGTTTTGCTTCGCTATATGTAGCCAATATAGGTTGTGTACTGAAAGAAAATCCCTATATCATATATGTTTCACCAACCTGATGAAACTATTTTCAGAAGTCTGTGCAATTCTCCTTTCCAAACCGTACAGGAACTGGGGTCACCTCCAATTCCCTCCACCCGGGAGTGATCTACACAGAAATACACCGACAGCAGGAGGAACGCTTACGTGAGGCACTCGGTGAACGGCTTTCCAGGGTGGCCAATAAGATCATAGAAGGGTTTGTCGGTATAATAGGGAAGACCTGGGAGGAGGGAGCCCAGACCACGATCTGTTGTGCAGTAGCCGAGGAATGGGAGAACACAACCGGGCTATACTTCAGGTAGGTCTTTTATGATAATAATGCCACACCGACTTAATTTTATGGATGACATTCTCTGAAGGCCCCCAAACTAGTGCACGCGGGCGAATTGAAAAAAAATCCGGCCAAAAAAATGCTACTAAACCACAAGAATACAAAGCTGGTATAATTTGTGAGTTTGTGGCAGTACACAACAAGCCGGCACAAGCTGGCTTTTTGCGTGATTTATGAACCGGTTCTTGAGTCGTGGAGCTTCGGTAGCCTGGGTGCCCGGCTCCGTATTGTCGCAACTACCATGGACTACCCAGGCCTAGAGCCAGGCCAGAGCCTCGGTAAAAGTGACCTTTTTTAAAAAAAAAAGGCGAAAACCAATGCGCGCGCGGATGTCATCCATAAAATTTAATCGGTGTGACCTAAAATGAATTAATGATAATTAATTTGAATAATCTCTGTTTAATATTCTTGGCCAGATGGGTTAAATGCACATGCAACTATGTGTGGTCTAGATGATATAGAACATAGTATTGAACATTGAAATGTTAAATTCTAACGCTCAAAGTTTATTCTAAGTAATAAAAGTCTATATACTACAGAATTACTATATTCTCTTTATAATATATAGTAATTCATTCATTCATTTATTCATTCATTCATTCATTCACTCATCTATCCATTCATTTATTCATTCATTCTTTCATTCATTCATTCATTCATTCATTCATTCATTCATTCATTCATTCATTCATTCATTCATTCATTCATTCATTCATTCATTAACTATTCGTTCATTCATTCATCAATCTATTCATTCAATTCATTTATCTATTCATTCGTTCATTCATTCATCCGGCCTTCCTTCTTCCTTCCTTCATTCATTCATTCAATTAATGTTTGAATCCCCTGTGTATGTGTACGTACAGTGACTGTGTGCCAAAAGAGACGTCAGCTGCAGGCATGGACGACAAGGCAGCAGCCCAACTCTGGGACATCAGTGAGAAGATGGTTGGACTCAAGTCTTGAAGTTACTCACAATGATGTTTTTCACACTTCCCATAATGCCTTGTGATGGTCACGGTGCCATGACAGTTCCCATTGCATCATGGGTAAGTCACTTTCGAAGCAACCATCATGAATATTCATCATTTTGGAGATTGTTACCTGCATACATGTAAGGATGTAAACAACTTAACTACATATGTGACCAAGACTAATTGATCATCCTGTATTATACAAACCCATTTCAAATTATATTTTTAACATCACAATGAAAAGGGAAGAAGCCGAAGTTCTGTATTAGAGTAGTTTTAGAGCTGTTTGTACTACAAACATGTATATTACCCATTTCATCTGTGCGCCTGTACTTAGCCCGATAGGGTATGAATGTACAATAAAGGTTATTATTATTTTATTAAGTGCCAAACGAAAGAAAAAGAAGAATAATCTACTGAAATGTCATCATGTCACTTCTGTCTAGAGTCTATCCGCTTCTTACGTCATATCCGTAACCTGAACTAGGCATTATGGGAAATGTGAAAATCATGAATGTACGTCTAGCCTGGCTGTTACATAGTGTCTTGCTGTCAGGTGTTGTTGTACCAGGCTTGAGAAAGCGGCTGGAAAAAACGACGAATAGTCAGATATCATGCTATAGCTAGGGGAGTTGGTTTGCCAAAGAGTACATTTTGCCACTCCCGATCCCGTGGCATGTTCGCTTTCTATGCGTCCATGTTGTCTGGACAATTTCTACTCTTTCCAACCGGTTCCGGAAGCCTGGTAGAGGCTAGTGCTATTGGGTCATCTCTCTGAGACTACTGGAAGGGCTGCTAGAAGTGTGATGTGGTTGATTATATGAGATAAAGGTATGTAATGCAATGTAGCATCAAAAACCAGCTAGAAATAAAGAATCAGTTACTACAGTGTTTTAACAGAAACTATGCAATTTCTTCTCATTTGTGTGTATGCATTAATAAATAATATTTAGTACCAAGGTAGAAGATGGAGTCCACTTTCTCGTAGATATTATATTTCCTAGTTTATGTAGTAATGATATTGATAATCTTTTTAGATATGTTACAAGAACGTTTTGATACCTCCAATCCCTGAATGTATAATTGATAACACGTGAGAAGATGAACTATAGTATTGGCAATGGAAAACATACATGGCAAACTAGAAAGGTAACATTTGCAAGGCAAATGCATAATGTTTACCTTCACATATGATCTGCTCTGTTTATTCTTACTCAAACATATTCATACATATGGCCAGACAGGAGTCTAAATCCCTCCTGCTATGAAATTGCAACATGATGTAACCCGACACTAGTTAACATGGGAACAGTCACAACATTGATTCAGGTCAGAGGTCACTGTTTGGAGAAGAGAAAGAAGATACTGAGCAAACAATTTTTTTTGTAAGATGAAACATAATTACAATAGTATTGTACGTTACAACAGGCACACATTTCTCCATACAACATAATGGACACTCTGGCATGCAAAATAGTGGGTAGTTCTCCATTAATTTTGATATTTTTGTAGGAACCCAAGAATTAGCTGAGGTTACTTTTATTGCTAGTTTTCGTTCATATATATTTGTACATTACAATAAATTACATGTTACAGCGTTACCCTTTGCATTCACTGTTAAAACTGTGTAATATCATTTAAACAGGAACAACGTTAACCGTGTATGATTTTCAGTAAAGCCCGCTACAATGTAATGCACCAGTTTGTCAAATGTACAGCTGATAAAAGAATTCGAAAACAATTGTTAAAAATTGCCACAATTTACACGTACATACAAGGAGCATAATATTACATTTTGTACATGCGTTATTTTATATTTTAGGGCTATTATATCGTGAACATGCCATAAAAGTTTTTGGATTTTAATACCCAAGGGCTAAGCATAGTCAAACTTGTCTAAGACGACCGTCTAAGAGTAACAATTCCCTTCTTATGAAAAAAGAATGAGGTAGAAATTTCGCTAGTTCTTCACTGAAGCGTTCCCGAAAAGTACCGGTGGCGGTCGCCTTGGACAGTGGCTTAAGCATATCCCTTAATGCTTAGATCTAGAGAAATCAGGACCGAGAAAAAGCGGTCGTTATGGCCAGATGGCCGGCTTATGATAGTGGTATATACTTTTACCGTACTTTCCGTAAGTTAGTAGACACACATGTCTATTATACCTTACACAAGATTTCAATATTTTTTTTTATTCCAACATCTAATCACAAGACGTGATGATGGCACACTCAGGTTTTTCTTTCAATATTAATGCAATGTAGTACAGTAATTCACCTGAGCGATGTGAGGAAAGTCGCGTTAAGTTCCTTTCCCAAGGGCACAAGATCGGTGGCATGTCAGGACTCGAACCCGGGACCCCTTGATTCCGAGTCGAGCACTCTGTCGCTACGCCACACGACCCCACCATTTGAATGAATGAAGACCTTTGTTGTACATTTGTTTTGTGTTCTACAGAACTAAGTACAGGTCGCATGGGTACAGAACATGAACATAAACATATATACATTACATACATATGAACATATAGGAGTGTAAATAAATGTCTAATTTCTATTCTTTTCGGCTTCATCTCGCTTAGTAGTAATTGTATGGATATATGCGGCTGTGAGATTACTTATAGTAGGTTTATCAAAAGTTAAAAGGAATACAAATTTCTCTTTACTAGTCAAATATCTGAAGTGGGGAAATATACTTAATACATGTCTAAAAAATATGAGTCTATCTCTACTATACAAGGGGCAATCTATGGTGAAATCTATTTCATCTTCTATTTGGTCTAAACTACAGAATTGACAGGTTCTTTGTTCTAGAGGAGTGCGGTTATGTCTTCCTGATTCGATTCGTAATTTGTGACAACTGATTCTTAGTTTTGTAATGGAGGACCTGTGACGTATGTTCGCTAAGTTGAGATATTTTTCTTCGTTATAGGAATGTTTTAGTAATCTGTATAGACGTAGTTTGTTCTTAGCATTCACAGCTTTGCTATCGTTGTGAATTTCGGATAGGAATGTCTGAAAATAAATGTCTTTTAAACCATTTGAATAATTGTATGTCCAAAACTCTCAAGCGACACTAGACTTCTGTAAACTAGATCTACACTGAAGATTCAGCTTCACGGGAAGTGATTTTAGTCATCTGTACTTCAGTGCTATTTGATACGGTTACGTAAAGCTGCACTATTGTTGAACCCGTGGAACGTGTGCGCGACACACGGGATAGCTGACGGGTAGACACCCGGGAATGGACGGGAAACGCTCTCTTTGGACATGCACGTCTGGTCCCAGCTGCTAGGCGGCGCTGCCGCTTGGTCCTGCAGAACGTCTGCCGGATGCAGTCTCGGAAGCTGTCGCCAACTATGGCGTAGACGAAGGGATTCATGGCGGAGTTGGCGTAGCTCAGGCAAACCCCGACAAACTAGAGGGATACACGACATAACAGTTACTCAAGCAACTGAACAAATTTGAAAAACTGTAACGATAAACATTAAAAAGAATATGGAGTACACATAACTAACTTCACCGATGCTAACATATACGACCAATGAATTATAAAAAAAATGCTTTTATGCAAATAAACCCACATTTGTGAGACTTATATCAATTGGTCATACTTGTACTCTTATCAAATCTTATCAAAAAGGGACATATTTTTCTTAGCATTTCCTAATGATTTAAGCAAATGAGGTCATGATTTGAATACATAATATTTTTGATGTCCACTTTTATCAAACTCCCCAATGCCGCAAATATGAAATTCCCGACGGACGTTTCCCCTTATTATTTATGTAAATTATGTCATAATTTAAATAATTGATAAAAGCCGGTTTTCCTATAATTCTCAATCACTTATGTCACAAGTTGTCACAATAACCTTCTTTGATAGGATAAAACTATCATTGCACAACCACTATATATATATGGGTGGAGAACATAATCAACTGAAATAATCATAATTGATACATGCAAATGAGGATATATTTTGCGTATTCAATTGAATTCTAAAACATAATTCGATAGTCGTGAAGGCTCGTTAACGAAGTTGGGCGAAGGTATAATATCGTAGAACCCTTGTGTTTTTTAAGTATGATTTCATTTTTTCTGAGAACGACAGTACCAAGGGAGCTTTGAATATACAGAACCCAACGACGGAGATCTCTGTTTTGTGTTTGGAGAGTAGCGCGGACGAGAAACTCATTATTTATTTCAGTCCGTACCGCTCACCGGAAGTTCCTTAGAACAACATCCGGGTCAACCGTCGACCTCCACAAATCCCCCTGCGCAGCACTTTGTGTTACCATTTCCTCCTGTTTTGTACCAACCGTTCAACCTCTGTTACATTCTAACATTTCTTTCGTCGGGCAAGCATCTAAAACATCATCACGATGTACGCCGTGATTCTAACGGTCGTGGCGGCGATGTTAAGCGGGGGACTAGCGGGCTCGGACCCGCCACCACACGGCGACTACGCCGCTATGGCCCGCTATGTGGTGCACAACAACGACTGGGGCAGTCTGGCCTCCATATCTACACACCAGCCTATGAAGGGGAAACCATTCACCAACGTGTTCTCTGTCAGGTACAAAAAAACTTCTGTATTTTGCTATTAAATATCAACTCTAAAGGAATGATAAGAATACAAGAATTAAAGGTAGGGAAATAGAAATTATTACCACTAAAACTATATGTTCATCTTGTTAAAACCTCTCCAGGAGCCAAACAATTAACCGGCCGTTTGTCATTTTCATTCGGTAGCCAAGAGCACTACGCCCGCCTAATCTATTACCGCTACGGGGGGGTTAAGCTCGGGGAAGTTGGCCGATTCTATGGCAAGTCCCCTCGGGCTCAACTCCCCGTAGCGGTACTTTAGATAGGCGGGTGAAGAGCTCTTGGATACCGAAGGAAAACTGCTAACGGCCCGATACTTGAGTCTGGCTCCCAGTGAAAAGAGCCCCGAAAACAGCCTGCCCCAACCACAAAAGTTGACCCCTTTCAACGCACACTGGGAATTTCAATTAAGTGACGGCAGTATACTATGAAATGCAGGCTGAAAAGATTGTCAAACCAACTGAGGCCCAAACACTTCATAGCTGTTCAGTAGGGCAAATGTATGCATGGCTAATCACTATCAAAACAACAGCCTACATTGTAAGGAATCAGCAGAAATTTAGAGTTTGTTAAATGCTAATATTAGACTAGTCATTTGTTCTGAATAGAATAGTCACTTGTTTCACATGTATGTATGTACTCATGTATGTATGTATGCTGTATACATTTTGTGTTGCAATTAGCCCTCGGGCATAGTTTGCAAATAAACTAAATACTTTCATTAGTTTGGTTAGTCACTATCCACCTGCGTCAATGTATACAGTGTTCTTTATTTCTAAACACAAGCAAACGGATATTATCTAAGGACTTAGTTTGGTAACCTCGTATAAGGAAGTAACAAGAAGTGGAAAACAATCCAAAACACTCGAATACGTTTCACCACACATTGAAAGACGTTTAGTTGTTTAAGGGGGCGTGAATTAAGGGGGCACAAAATGTCACTTTAGGCCACAGCAAGTAAATTTTATGGATGACATCCTCCACAGATTCCACATCTAATGCGAGCGGGCGAAAAAAAAAAAACAAGGCGGGCCGAAAAAACAAGGTTCCTACATTTCAAAACTTTGACTCAATCATTGTACGAATGTTTTTCATTCAGTGGGAACATCACATATACACAGCCAGCATCACATATCACTGCATCAAAGTAAGAAACAAAACATTAAATCAGAGCCTTTTCTTGTCTCCTCTCTTCATAGTTATCTGCCATCCACCTTCCGGCATGGCAGCAGACATCTTTGCCCATTTTCGGCATGTTGATCACTGTCAGAAGGCAACAAAATTTATTGTTTTTTTTCAAAATCAGGCGAAAATTAATGCGCGTGCGGATGTCATCCATAGAAATTACTTGCTGTGGCCTTAGTACACATACAGTAAACATTGTTTTGTTGCTGGATAGTGGACCTGCTGGATTTAGAAACATAACGGGTTTGTTCCTCTTCCCCTTCCTGAATATTCGTAGCCTTCATCGCAGTTTTTCTTTACTTATCATCAAAAGAGAAGTCAAACCATACAGACATAGTTTTAGACAATTACTTTTTCGACATGATATCTATTTTGTACCCTGATTCAATGTTCGTTTAGTCCATGTTATTTGCAATTAGGCCACACCAAGTAAATTTTATGGATGACGTCCACGCCCGCAATTCGTCAGATTGACGTGAAACCCGTAACGCGAAAACAGGACAGGACGACAACTGCTGTTCCACCTGATTTATTGCTGTTTTGATGATGAATAAAAGACTTCTTGCTTGTTACACTGTATCACCTCATTCAATTTGTGTCCTAACATTTGTCGTCTCTTAGTATATTTCTAATCTAGGCATCTTGTTTTTTAGGGCCCTTCTTGTTTTTTTCTCGCCCTCTCGCATTAGATTTAGGGTCTTTAAAGGACGTCATCCATAAAATTTAATTGGTGTGGCCTTAGCTTTCGCGCAGGATTGTGCAATAACTGTATCCATTATCTTTCAACACTCCTTTAAAGCTTATTTTTATTTCTATTTCTTTAAGGTGTCGTGAGTTAGGGGGCGTTAAACATCACATGGTAGCCTCGTGACCTCGTTATCCGACCTTGCCCTTTATTTTTAGTAGACGTACGCGTACGGCAAACATGTTTTTGGGCAAAGGTCACTACAATTTGGAGAGCATCCAACCCAAATGTAAACAGCAGTAAGGCCACACCAAGTAAATTTTATGGATGACGTCCACGCGCGCATTGATTTTGGCCTCTTCCTAGAAAGAAACACAAGAAATTTGGCTTCCTGTAACTATGACCAAAGAGTCACGACAGTGCCGCAAATCGTCAGATTGATGTGAAACCCGTAACGCGAAGAAAGTGTATATTGACAGGACCATCCTGTCAATAACAGAAAATTTTTCACTGTCCACTGTTCCACCTGATTTATTGCTATGTTGATGATGAATAAAAGACTTCTTGCTTGTTACACTGTGTTACCTCATTCAATTTGTGTCCTAACATTTGTCGTCTGTTAGTATATTTCTAATCTAGGCATCTTGTTTTTTAGGGCCCTTTGTGTTTTTTTGACCCTCTCGCATTAGATTTAGGATCTCCAAAAGACGTCATCCATAAAATTTACTTGGTGTGGCCTAATCATGGTTCAAAACATACTGCTTTGTATATAATTTAGTGTACATATACTTCTAATTTATCATGTCGAAATGATTTTTGAAAGTGTGATTTGATATAAAATATCGGTGCAATTTAGTGATTACTGCAATTTTAAGCCGTTTTTTTTAATTCTGAAGAAATCAATGATGATTGAATTTTTGGTATTTTGAAAGAAGAAGTACTTCGTGCATGAGAGTGGATATGCACAGTAGCGTGTCCGTTCCGTACGGAGTTCCGTATTTACTTAAGCCTCGGTCACAACCCGCCGTACGTGTTTTTTGTCCGTAGGTTTTTTATGGGTTCACCACACCACGAAGTGGTGGTGAACCCATGTGTTTTCATGTTTTGTTTTCCCTTGTGTTTCTCATTCTTTCCCTGCCATGTGGTAAAATGTGGTGAACCCATCGCTGTATTTGCTCCAAAGCAAATATTGGCCTTTCTAGTTTGGAGGCTACGTCTGCTACGTTTTTCTGAAAGTGAATCCGCAGACCGCACGCATGAAAAGTATTACACTTAAAGCTCTACGGCGTGTCTGCGTGCTCCCAAATCCGCAGGATTCCGTACGGAGGTGGTACTCACCACGCACGGATGCCCTACGTTTGCCCACGTTTTTGCACGTAGACAGCACGCAGAAGCACGTACTGCGGGTTGTGACCGTAGCTTAACAGTGGGGTGTTGAATGATACTTGTTTATTTCAGTGACGGTCCTGTGGAGAATGGTACCGGCGTGCCGTACTTCTTCTTCAGTCCGCTAGATGTCACTGTTCAAGATTTGATGGTTAACCCCAACGCTAGCTTCTCCATGTCAGGTAATGCATAAAAAATATGCAGAATAAACATGCATTTAGTAACACAATAATCGCGTTGTCGTATTTAATTCAGCTTTAACCCTACCTAGACCGGGCTTTTTTTGACATGGGGGGACCGGGGGGGGTCTCTCTTCACCCCCCCTAAGAACTCGCGAACGGTATGTCGTATGACCACCAAATTTTCAGAGGATGGTGTACTAGTGAAAATTTATCATATCTACAATTTTTATGTCGTTATGACGTAATATGACGTCATTATGACGTCATTAATGTGATTTTATTGGCCAAAACCGTCTAAATAGGTTTTTCCCTGAAAACTAAATGGTATTCAACATAACTGTACCAAAAGTGTTTATGACAGAATATTATGGTGTACTAAGTCTTATGTTGCCCATAGCAACACCGGTGACGTCATAAGATGACGTCATGCATATTTAAGATATCCGCCATCTTGGATCATCAATCTTGAATTTTCAAAAATAGTTTTTTTTCATGATAAAGCCTAAAATACATTGTAAACATACTAAAGAACTTCATTTAAACCTTTTTTGGAAAAAGAAATGGAAGTATTGATGAAATTTTAATGAAAATAACCTGTATATACCCGTTCTAATGATATGGTCCGCCATCTTGGATTTTGGCCAATGACGTCATCAAATTAGCATAAATCATGCAGATTTAATGATAAAATTTACATCAAATTATATGGGATGTTATTAATATTAGAAACCATGAGTAACTTCACATAAAACCCATAAAATTCTATTTTTGAAACAAAAAGTACGAAATTTAGCAAAAAATGCCTGTCAGAAACCCGTTGCCATGGCAACACAAAAAATCATTATCTTATTCCAATGATAGAGAATTGTTGCCAACAATATTTTAGTAAAAGTCACCAAGTTTGGCCGTTCTACGGCTAGCCGTTCAGACGCTAGGTGACATCAAAGTTGCCGCGGGCACTTTTAGCCCCCCCCCCCCCGGTCTAG